CGTTTTGTTTGTCAAGATATTTATATTATAGAAAAGATGACTTAGGACATCCTGTTAACTATAAAACATTCATAATCAATATAGTAAAATAAATAGATTTAGCGTAGTCAGTCTGTTTGGATGTCTATAATGTATTTACTGATTAATAGAGCCGATAGAATGAAACTTTGTGAGTCCAGTCTAATGTATTGCAGTTTGATTAAGAGCGAATTTAATTATATTATGGAACGTCTATACAAAATAACTGCTAAATATCTAAGTGTGTTGCAAGTTTGGACCAAAAAATATTCTTTATTTATAGATATAAATTTTAGTAAAGGGCTAACGACTGCTTTAAAGCAAAACTATTTATGTGTGAAGGGTATTTCGTTTCGGCAAAGCTAGAACAAATTTACTTTCTTCTTATATTTTAAATAATATGAAGCATTATGTATTTTTCTTGTCACAGTTTATATAAGTTATAAGCTACTTACTATACGTCCCTCGTAAAAATTGTAATGTATCAGTATATATGTAGGCTTACTCATAAACGTGTGCACAATATATAGTGTGTTTGTGCGAAAGATATCACGCGTTCCATTCATCGCTATTCGTCAGACGGTATAAGCTTTGTTGTTCAATATTTATTTATGTTTTTTTCTATATAGCTTTCGGTTTGAGGTTTCCTCTCTGAGAGTTTCTTTAAGTTTATCTTCTATATATCTCCTATATTTACATCAACTGACCAAAACAAATAACTTGTCTTAACTCGTAATGAATCAATTCGTTTAGATACAAATAATATCGAACTATTTATAGTTATTTTACACAAAAAAAGGTCTGACCTTTAGTAACTACAAATGATTTAGATTTTTTTATATTTTTTTTGAATTTATACTAAAATCACTCTATAATTTGCATTATGAATGAGTATATATTTTTTATAGCATAATATGATAAATTTCAATTAAGAGATGATATGCGCGTTGTTTGAAATCAGACAACGGATCATAAATGGACTATTTATTTATTTTAATTATAGATAAATAAAAAGTTTTATTGAATTTTTTATATATATAATTTTATATAAAAGGATTTAGATAATTGCAGAATGTAGAGTGAAGTTGAATAAACTTTCTCTCAACTTGAGAGTATATTATGTAATATAATTTTTCAGATACGTCCTTCGCTAATAGAAGATAACCAACTTATCAAGTTTAATGTAATAATTTTGTACTATTAACATACATAAATATATATACCATACTATACAGTCTCATACTAATGAGTGTAGGTTATTATAAAATCAAAAAATTAAATAATAGTAATAATAAGCGGTTACTTGTAATTGTAATTTATTATTATTTAAATATTGTTAAATTAATGTTAAAGGTTAACAAGGTAAAATCTTTTTTCAAAATCTTGTTTTTTTTTTTAGAAATTGATGGATTTGATATTTCTTCAGGTCGGTAGTCTCCAGTAGCACGACATAAAATATTTTATTATAATATATACAGTCTCTTTTTTTTGGTACTAATAAAGTAATAGAATGTATTTATCCTAATTACAATAAAAATAAAAATTAATAATAAATGCATTATAATTTCTATTATATATAATGGTTTTTGAAACCATTCTAGTATAATTCTCAAGAAAGAAACTGGATAGGATCCAGGTTCGAACTCAAGAATGTCGGTTGGAATTAGCGCTGCTATTTAATTGTTTAGTATTGAGGTATCTATTTTGACATAGTAAAGAAATATTTTAAATTACAAAAATTTTATTTGCAATTAACTAAATTTTTTGGCTGATCATGCAATTGTTTCAATTATTGTCAAATTTTTTCCATTAACGGACTTTGAAAATATTTGAAGGTTTACCAGTCCTTACATAATTTGTGAATTGCAAGTGCCTCGTTCAAATTTGAACCGTCAACTAGAATATTACCTCATAAAGCCAAAGAACACTTAATTTGCATTAGTTAAATTCCGAATAACAAATATTCATTCGTAAACAATACGAATGATACAGTGCTAAATTTAGAACAACTACACAACCTACTGAAGGTTGTGAGCTTGAGGCGTTCTTCCACTTATACTTTCTACTTGTAACGTCTATATTAAAATCTATATATATTTGTGATCAATTCGGAAATGACTGACTTTCTTAACAATAGAAAGAGACTGGGCTGTATGTTTAATATTTTTATTTACATTTACTTATTTGTAATTTAAAACATTTAATATTTTATAATTCTAACATAATTGCAGATAGGAGTAGAGTATGCCATCAGATAGATTTTAATTTTGTAGGGCTAAGTATAAACCTTTTTGTTTTGGCGTTTTTTTTTTTGGTGACTAGCGTTCACCATGTCTGGGTATTGTTATTAGGCAATAAACCGTTGGCATGGGTCGATAACCAAATAAGTGTTCATGGGGGAATAACAGTGCCAAAACTCAAGTTAACAAATAACTGGAGGTTTGGGCACAAAAATAGATAATTCTAGATTTATGAAAACTATTTAAATAAAAATAAGATATATATTGATTCCCTTTAATATAATTGCTCTAGTCATTTATAAAAAATAGGTCAATACAAGTTCAAAAGTTCATTAGAAACTAATGAATGTTCATTAGAACATTTACAAGGGAAACTAATCTTAACTGATATATAAAACAGCCACTTTATAAACACTACCATAGCTTAGGCACTCTAATCATATGTAATATTTAGATAATTTAAAATAAAAATTGTAAAGTGTATTTTCATATCGAAGCAGTATGAAGTTGTACCATTCAAGCAAAATTACGATGTGACTACGCTTCGTTGTATAGAGAAATTGTGACTGCAATGAGTTGGGTACGTTGTATAGATGTCAACCGAAAGAACTACAAATAAAGTATTAGTGAAAATAGTAATTGTGCGAGAAAAGAGAGGGAGAAAGATTACGCTAGTGAGAGAGAGAGAGAGAGAGAGAAAAAAAGATCACGCTAGAGAGAGAGAGAGAGAGAGAAAGATCACGCTAGAGAGATAGAGAGAGGGAGAGAGAGAAAGATCACGCTAGAGAGAGAGAGAGAGAGAGAAAGATCACGCTAGAGAGATAGAGAGAGGGAGAGAGAGAAAGATCACGCTAGAGAGAGAGAGAGAGAGAGAAAGATCACGCTAGAGAGATAGAGAGAGGGAGAGAGAGAAAGATCACGCTAGAGAGAGAGAGAGAGAGAGAAAGATCACGCTAGAGAGATAGAGAGAGGGAGAGAGAGAAAGATCACGCTAGAGAGAGAGAGAGAGAGAAAGATCACGCTAGAGAGAGAGAGAGAGAAAGATCACGCTAGAGAGAGAGAGAGAGAGAGATATCTGGCTAGAGATAGAGAGGAAGAGAGAGATCACGCATGAGATGGCTGGACAACATGGTTAGAGATATAGAGATAATGCCGGAATGCATAACTACAAAAGTCAAGTCAGAGGTCAAAAGTGTTGGATGGAAATTATAAAGCAGGTTTAGATTTTATATGAACTGCTGATTATAATGAACATTAACCATACGAAACGAATCAGTTTTCCGCTTTCCATCTATTTATCTATCTGTTAATACATGATCTAGTCTTCGACTTTTTGAGCTAAACGAATAAGGTACTGCACATGGGCTTCTAAGTGAACCAAATTCATTTCGAATTAATTAAAAATTTTAAAATTGGTGAATGTTTAACGATTGCTTTAGAATTAAACTTTTACATATATGTAGGTAAAAATATATTACAAAATAATTGATATTGATAATTGAATGTTCAAAACGCCCTAAAGGTTTCGCAAAACCAAAAGTTAATTTCTTTCTTGTTCTAAAATTCATTTTATCAAAAATAATTTCTTAAATAATACTCTAAGTAACTTCATGAATTAAAAAGTAGTGCACAGAATATCAATACTATTAAATTAATATTGTACCTAATTGAAATATTTAATATATTGGAGAATTCGTGCTTTCATACTAAATAATAAATAAGATTAAATTAATATTAAATACAATAGCGAACTTTCTTTTTGTTTTAAAAATGTAAAGAAAATTAACATAAGTCTTGTAGAGTCCATCGAATACAGCAAGTATATTAAGTATATATATATAAGTGTATGTATAGTAATTTGAATTTTATTGAATGCTACGAAAATTGTAGAATTTTCATTAAAATATATAAAGGTTACAAAAAAAATAACTGAACTTTATAAAAAAAATAAATGCCTATAAGATAGAAAGTTTTGGAATTTTAATCTATTTTACTCTTTAGCACTTCTATAATTTACACATATTTATTTAATTCTATATTTATTTAAATAAGGATACAGTATTATGAAATATTTTTTATTTACAATTGATTTTCTTTATTTTTAGCAAATCATTGGGTTCCATACTTTCAGTGAACGGCGCAACACACTCGATTATTTCGATCACGATTTCATAGCGGACTTTATATACATATGCACTATGCCGAATAACTTATTACAGCCATTATAAATATATGATCTATTGTATTGTAATAATAATAAATATATGTATAGGTGCATGCGCAATATGCATCTCGTATGCATTAAGTATCAAAGTTAATTTACTTATTTTTATTTAAAAATTTGTACAATTTAAATTTCGAGACGGAATTTTTACTCTATATTTGAATAATAAAACATCATTGAAGAATATAAAAAGCAACAAGGAAGTAAGTCAACTCTATAGTGATGAGATTTTCAATATCTAGCTTTATTACTTTCAAAGGTGATAATGAATTAGTTTCATTGATAATTTTATACAGAAATTCTAAAGAAATTTTTAAGTTTAACGGTAAATTTCTTTAATTCAGTTTTATATTTTGTGCTGTTAGCATGCACTTTTGCACGTATTTGGTGCTGTTCTTTTGAAACTATTTTGTTTGTCTCAAAAACATGTTTTGCCGTTTTTGACACTGTTAGCTAGCACTTTAGGCTTTTGCTTATCTTATTACACGTATATATATATGAGCTAACATGAGTATTGAATGAGGGATATACATATATTATTTTATAAAATTTGTTTGTCTTAAATATTTGTTTTGCTATTATAAGCACTGTTAAAAAACACCTTTAAAAATGTTTAATACAGTCATTCTACAGAAATATTAAATTCAAACGGCACCTTTTTTGAGTTTACTAGCCATTTTCAATACTGTTAACTAGCACTTGTATAATTTTATTTATAGTAATTTTGTTGCTGTTACCTTGCACTTCGGGCTGTTTTTTTGTAGAACTAGTAATATTTGCCACTTGTATATTATAAATTAGAAGATTAGTATAGGAAATATGTTGAACATAGAGAAAGATTACAGAGTAGATTTACAGTATGAAAGAGAACAGATTAATTCAGACATAGAAGTCTTCCTACTTTTATGGAATAGAGCCACAAAATAAATAGAATTAAATTGACTTGCGCAATCTGTTTACAGATGGCGTGCTCCACCTGACGCCTCAGCATGTAAGAAGAAGTGGTTAGGGAACACATTGAGAATAGATGAATGTATGCGTGATAAATAAATGTTTAGCAAATGGCTGTATTCTGGCATAAGTTGGGTTAGTCAACTTCTTATTGCACGTAGAATTTTTTTTCAATAAATGTTCAATAAGTATTAAACGGGGACCTGTAACCTTATTACAACACCAATATGAATTTGAAGAATTAGCCTTCTGTGTTTGAAAAGTGCTTAGTCATTATTGTTGCCTGACCTAACTGATAACAACTTTTTTGCAATTAATGCTGAAATATTCTTGATTCTTGTTACTAAGAAAGAGATCGATGGAGATCGTGTTCCTAATTGCAACACCATATGTACATATATATTGATCATTTTTAAAGAGACATGTGGAATCTTAGCATTTTTCTATGATCAGGAATGATAGTGTGCAAATACCAGACCCAATATTAATCAATTTATTAAAATATTTTTAATATATTAATCAACAAATTATTAATTAACTACATACCTTAAGCGTTTACGTCTCTCTAATAAATCTCCATTTGGCCGTGTTTCATTTTGAATTTGTGGTGGAAACTCGTCAATTGCTTCTCGAGCATCAAAACCGTTTGTGGCATCATTGTCATCGCCAACCTAAAATTATATATATTTTACATTTTATTTGAATATAAGATCAAATAATTGGAATTTAATAATTATAGAATATAACTCACCAAAAAACTTGGTCTTTCAGCAGTATCGTTACTCATATTGCCGTTGTGGTTACTATTGTAATCTATGCTGAGATTTTTTAAGTTCTCACAATTGCTATTTTCCACTGTAAAATTTTCGTTTGAAAATTGTACCTTCTTTATACTTTTACAACTTTCACTGTTTACTTGAAGTTTTTCAGTTGTCACTGGATTTTCTACAAAAAGAACAAAATAATTATTTTTATTTTTGGATCTCATGAATATTAAGTATATAAATAATAATTTCTCACTGAAAAAACGTTGTAAGCAGCCAAACAAAGTATGTAGTAAAAACATGAGAACGAACGATATTACAATGAAGATAATCATCAGCCAATACTTAACAGCGTTTAGATAATAATTTTAATTAATTTTTAAGGACAAAAACTATGACAACGTTCTATGAAGTTGATTCATAATAATCATATTAAATAAGTTGCTAAATGCTTACAAATTATTATTAGTTTAAATAATAAAATTGTATATATCTAAATACTTTGATAATAATAACGTAAACGAATGTATGATTAATTTTCAATATATAATTATAATAAAAATTACTACAGCTCTAACATCGAATTGAATTTCTTTCAAAATGATATTAACATTGTGAATATTACAAAAAAATTGCACCATATATCGTATTGCCGTATATCGTATTAAATACTTTGATAATTGTTCAATAACGTAAACGAATGTAAGATTAATTTTTAATATATAATTATAATAAAAAATACTACAGCTAGCATCGAATTGAATTTCTTTCAAAATGATATTAACATAGTAAATATTACAAAACAATTGCACCATATATCGTATTGCCGTATATCGTATTAAATACTTTGATAATTGTTTAGTAACGTAAACTAATGTATGATTAATTTTTAATATATAATTATAATAAAAATTACTACAGCTAACATCGAATTGAGTTTCTTTCAAAATGATATTAACATAGTGAATATTATAATACAATTGCATCATATATCGTATTGCTGTATTACGTAAGGTAAGAATGAGGGGCGTAAAAATGGATTCCATTGGAGTCTTTGATCCACCAAAGCCACTCTAATAATCCGACACTATGGCAAAAATTTTGTTAAGGAAGGATAGATCAAGATACTTCAATTTCTGGGTACACTTAATGTAAGATATGATGAAAAGGGTCTATATCATAATGTACATTTGCTTTTGATACGCCAGTACACATTATATAGAATATAAAAACTGTGATTTTTTTTTATTCTAAATATATTTATTCTGCTAATAAGAATTTTATATTGGACATCGAAATTGAAACTATTAACACAATATATCAATCTAAGCTTCTATTCAAAATTTCTCTGATATCTAAGAACAAATTTATTATTTAAAGTGAAAAGCAAAAATATGATTTAATATTATTAACTTGATCTCTCAGGCAGTGAATGCGCCATACTCAAATTTAGACAATTAAACGATTTTTATGATGAACGAGGAAAAAATAAATTAGTTTCTGTCATTAAATGTACCTAACCTCTGACCGTTTTGGAACCAACATTACTATTGTCAACTATAAGCTTGAACTTATAAAAGACTTTATCTATTTAAAAACCAGCATATATATCAGAAAATATATTAGCATAGGGATATAAAGCAGAACCACCTTTATCAGAATATATTGTTTTAAGTTAAGTATGAAATTAAGAAATAGAGTTTTCTTTCGATAAACCAAATCACGCTCTACAAGTTACTTATAATGCCTATCCTGCAGTGTGGTGGAGAAGATTGGGCAATGTTTAAAAGTGAAAAAAGGTCATTAGAAGTGTTCGAGGAAAAAAATTCTTATATGTAGATTTTTATAAAATAATGTTAAACAAGATATCGCTATATTACAATGAATAACTTCAATCTTGGAGATTCAGAAATATTTAATACATAAATAACTTAGCTGAAAAAATTAGATATACATATCAAACATATAGGAGTGTTTAATGAAGTTTAGAAGCAAGACTTCAACATATTTTTCTAACATGACATTATATTCTAGCAGGAGTATCCTGCTAGAATATAACAATATCCTTCAAACATTGTTATACCAAGGATGAAGTGCAGTTTACAATAGGTATTAAACAGAAATTATTAATTTTTTCTAGGTATTCTCTTTGAAACAAGAAAATTTGGTTAGTTTTATATACTAAATAAATATCTAGTAAGTATATAATTATAAGAAAACAATATTATATTATAAAAATATTATATTATAACACATATAAGAAGTTGGTATTAGATCTTTTATATGTTGTTCAGCTCATTTAGGAAAAAAAGTAGTGATTGGTGAGGCTGACGATTTACTGAAAGGAAATATATATATTTTCAAAATAGTTTGAAAGAACTTAAAACTTGCAGTTTAATATATAAGTAGTTTTAGAAAGATATAAACATTTTCTAAATTGAAATTATTTGCAAAGAATTTTATTAAATTCTGAAATTATTTTTAAATTTAAAATATGAGAACAGAAAAAAATATCCACTACAAAAATACTTATATTAATTATTTTAAACAAAAAAGTAAACAGTTTATAACTGCTAAGTAGGAGTTTCAATTTCGTAAAAACCGTAGATAAAATTTACATTGCACAAGGGGCTATAATAGCTGATTAAAGTGGTGACTCTCTATGACGCTTATTAGCTCTTCGCATCATTTTGTTGCGACATCTTCACTACTAATTGATTTTCCAGTTGTTTATCTAGTAAGCACGTTTAGATTCAGTCTACTAACCTACCAACTACGTCGTTTGATACATTATAAACACAATGAGTTATCATCGAGTTCTAAACGATATATTTTAATATAAACGTTCAGAGATTGAAGACATTGAAACCTCATGCTTCACTGGCAGTTGGAGAAGCAAAAGAATAACTAAAGATCGGCAAGATCAGAGTGCATTAGAGTGTGTAATATGCTTTTCATTTCCAATAAAATGTTTATATTTCGCATATTAACTTACAGTACGTTTACACCATCCCAATTAACCCGACATATATGCAACAATACGTTTTTCATAAAAAAAATGTGTTATTGATTGTAATTGCATTATAATTGTAAGTGAGTATATA